AGAGAGAGAGAGAGAGAGAGAGAGAGAGAGAGAGAGAGATAGATAGATAGATAGAGAGATAGATAGATAGATAGATTTTCTATTCAACACAATAACAGTTGATTTCAATGCACTTTTTCACCCGATGTAACCAGTGATCAAACGCACTGACCATGTCCGCTTCTGCCAGAGTCCTTAGTGAAGTATATGTTTCGAGCACAAAGTCCTCATCTTCAAATCGCTACTCCAATTTTGATTTTGGAGACCATTTGGAATTCGCATAGAATGAAGGGACATATTAAAGTTTGTTTTAAAATAATCATAATGTGATATAAAAAAGAGTGTATTCGTGGGATACCAAACTGAAAAGACAATCAGAAGAATGGAGAAACCCAGGATCACAACGTTTCCAGAAAGCTGGACGCAACCAAGGTGCTTTGAAAGTGAGGCACATCATGTTTTTCGATCACCGAGGTGCGGTTTTGAACTAGCTAGTTCCTGTTAGCATAATAGTCTTTATTGACTAGTATAAGATGGTTCTTCGAACAAAGCTAAAACCAGCAGAAAGCGGCCAAGTCTGCTCGAACAAAATGTTTTCCATCATGACAACGCGCCTGCGCACACTGCTCGAAAGGTCACCAATCACCTATACACTCCTGGCTGTGGGAAATGCCTGAACATCCCCGCTATTCCCCAGACTTACCATCCTGCAACTTTCATTTCTTCCCCAAAAGAACTAATGGGATAGCGATTAGAAGACGAGAAAAAAAATTGTGCAGGCAGCAAATGTTGCGGGAAGGACTCTGGCCGAAACGGACGTGGTCACTGCGTTTGACCGCTGGATACATAGGATGAAAAAGAGCGTTGGTTGAACAGAGAATATATTTCTCTAGGTGTGTACGAAAGTTCATGCCTGTAAAATAAAAATTATTGAATTCTTACTACGGTGTCCATACTTTTGGGACCGATAGATAGTGATAGATAATATGTGTACCATCGTGGTGAAATCAGGCGCTCGTCAAAATAATGAAATCAAAGAAAGAGGCATATTTCTGGCCGTTGGGCAGTTTGTTTGTTTTTCAATTATTATTTTTTTGGCTCAACACCTTTCATATTTTGTGTGGATTTTTTTACTGAGAACGTTAGCAC